CACAACCTTTGATTTCCCCTTGACATATGGGCATCTCAAAATCAATCTTCGGGGTCAGGGTCATCAGCATTTGCATTATTGATATCTGAGTTCCTGAAAGAATAACGGAAGAGAGGATATATATACATATATGCATATAAGAGAATCTTTTCCCATATAAATGGATAGAAAGAAATAATATATACATATACAACCAAGAATGATATGCATGAAAAATGTTTGCCATTTGGGAATTAACAGTACACATCTTTTATTGAAAGCAAGTAAAAACACACTGCTTAAACCTTTACATCAAATCACCTACTGTCCCAGGGTATGAACAATAGGGAAGTGTTCTAGTGTATTACTCAACAAGAGATTTGTAAACTACAAGCAGCTCCTTCGCAGTCCAGTTGTTCAACACAAAGCCTGGTGGCGTAGGGTAAATGCCCATAGCTCTCATTTCTTCGATCCTTTCATCGGTTATAACATTAATGCCTAAATCCTCTAAGGCATTCTCAACTATCACTTTACCGCTTCCCAAAGTCCCTTGAAAGATATGCCATCCTGACACGAAAGTGCTGCTTAATGGCGGGAAGGTCATAGGTTCCTAGCTTGGTTCTTCACCAGTCATTCTTGTTTTTCTCAATTCTTGACTCTTCTTGATGCCCCTCAGTTTTTCCTTTAAAGTTGGCTGATACCCTAAACCAAACCTGCCTCTTTTAGTTATAGGGTAGATCGGACTCACCGGTCCTTGTAATCGACGTCCAAGCCCTTTGCCAGTTTTTGCTCCTCTGCCAAGAGTCAGTTTAAGTCCCATTTTGGTGCAGTTTGACAATCTAGGCTTTGGGATCTTCTTGCCTTCAGCTACAAACGTTGCATTGACAAAATCTAACGATATAAAAGAACACTCAATAGCTTGTTCTTCCACTTCAACATATGGAGCCGTAGTCGAAACTGAAGCGATAATATGTTCTTCAGCGTGAATGCATATAAGCCTCCCATCAATTGCAAATTTTATCCTCTGGTGTAAAGTTGACGGAACCGCGCCCGGCCTGATGAATCCAGCGCCTTCCCAACAAGCAATTGTATGTAGGCATGATGTCCATCACAAGAAACTCCAATTCATATATTTCTGGACCAATAGTCAAAGGAATATCAATCTTACCTAACACCTCTCTTTTCGTTCCATCAAAAGCTCGAACCACACTTTGACAACTTCTCATCAGAGTACTGTCCATTGACAGTTTTTTAGAGTCACCAAGGGCATTACATTTAATGCTGAACCGTTGTCTATCAGTACTCTAGATAAAACATGTCTTTTGCACCTGATAGTGATGTGCAGAGCCTTATGACTTCCAATCATCCCTGAAGGTATCTTATCCTCAGAAAAAGATAAAAAGTTATCGGCTTGTATGTTAGCAACTAGCCGATCCAACTTTTCTATAGGTAATTCCTTCGGGACAAAGGTCTGGTTCAAAACCTTCAACAAGGCATTGCGATGAGCCTCTGAACTCAGAAGAAGTGATAGGACAGAAATACGGACATGCAACTTATGTAGTTGTTCAACAATACTGTATTCACTATGTTTCAAGAACTTTAGAAATTCCACCGCTTCATTTTTCGTTATTCGTTCATTGATAACATGTTCATCCTCTTTCATCTGCATATCAATATTTTTCCCTTTCTCGACATCAATCTTGTTCTCAAGCTCCTTGTAGTAACACCTACCACTCCTGTTCATGTGTCCCACTTCATCTACTTCTTCTTGTTGCTTTGCCACCTCCCCTATTTGACAAGTATACCTCCAAGGCACTTGGTTATTATCTTTGTATGAGAACGAAGATGGAGGTGTAATAATCACCTTCGGGGTTACCTTTTCAGCCACTCGATTCTTGGGAGTAATGATAAAGGGATGACTAGCACTGTATACCCCTTTGGATGACCCCTCAGAGGCGTAAACTTCTGCTTCTTCTTCTTCAGCCACTTTTTTGAAGAACTCGATTTCTTTACTATCCATCATCTCTTGTACCAGCTCCAAGAAATCAGGACAATGTTGTGTACTGTGTTATGTGTAGTTATGGTAGTGGCACATCTCTTCATTGTTGAACAGCTCACACGATAGACTGGTCTTTAATAGTCCTACTTTAACCATTTGACACCACACCCAAAACATAGGAGATACCACCTCCTTAACATTCCTTATAGTCTTCTTTCCTTTCTCTTCAGCGACAACGTTAATCCCGGCTCCTGCATGGTTTGGAAATGGATTCTGGGCTATGCTGGGTTGTTCTCTATCACCAAAATTGATGACATTTCTTCTTCTCAGAGCTTGGACGACCTTTTTGAATGCGGGACAATTTTCAATGGAATGTCTGGAAACCCCCGCATGATATTCACATTTAGCACTAGCATCATACTATTTGGGATAAGGGGGTTGTATAGGGTCCACATGATAAGGAGAGACTACATGTCGGTCGTACAACTCATGAAATAACTCCTTATAAGTCATGGGAATCGGGTCAAATTGAGGCCTCTCACTTCTCAGATCCCTTGCCCCTTGTCTATTGTCCATTTGTGGTGGCGCTACCGTCCCCTGAGGTCGGGACACTGTGATGTTATGAGAGTCATACTGCCTTACGTTACTGACTTCGTTTTCCTTTTTCTTCATCGGCGGTTTCTTACTGGGCTCTCCTCCCTTGAGTTTTCCACTTTTAATCGGCATTTCAATCATTTCTCCCGCTGTAACTATATCGGAAAAACTTCGAGAAGAATTACCAATAAAGTGTGAGAAAAAGGGAGCCTTCAAGGTATTAACAAAAACATGTTTGTTTCCTCCTCTACCAACGGTGGGTGGACTTGCACTGCTACCTCCCTCCACCTCTGAGCATATTGTCTGAAACTTTCATTATGCTTTTTCTCCATTGCTTGCAACACCATTTTGTTCGGCCTGACATCCATCACATGTTGTACTGATCAGAAATGATTTGGCCAGATCTTTTCATGACATTTGTTCCTCCTCTACCAACGGTGGGTGGACTTGCACTGCTACCTCCTCCACCTGAGCATATTGTCTGAAACTTTCATTATGCTTTTTCTCCATTGCTTGCAACACCATTTTGTTCGGCCTGACATCCATCACATGTTTGTACTGATCAAGAAATGATTTGGCCAGATCTTTTCATGACATAAAATTAGCTCTTCTTAGTTGATTATACCACCGCAATGCTGAACCAGTCAAGCTTTCTTGGAAACAGTGGATCAGTAGCTGATCATCCCCTATGTACCCAGTCATCTTTCTGCAGAACATCGTAATATGGGTAGAAGGGCATTTGGTACCGTCATATTTCTCGAAGTCAGGAGTCTTGAACTTCGGAGGCAGGATCAAATCGGGAACTAAACTCAATTCCTTAGCGTCAAGTCCGTACAAGCTGGTGTCTTCTTTCATAGCTTGGAATTCGCTTGTCAACTGCTTATATTGCTCTTGTAATAGCTTGTTTTCATTCCTTTTAGCTTCCTCATCAAGGTCTAGGACCTGGTGGTATGGATTTTCTTCGGGATGCGAACCAGATCCCGGTTGTAGATTCGCAGCCGTGTTGACAGGATGACACTCTGAGACTGTACCGGGGTGAACCCTGGAGGATAAAGGGGTTCTTCAGTTTCTTGCTCATGGACCTTTCCATGCTCTAGATTTCTCCCCTCCAACATACTTGCTAGCCTAGAGAACAGATCCTTTTGGGCGCTGATCAGGTTTTCTTGCATTTTCTTTATGTTTTCTTGCAATTCGAGCTGAGTTTTTTTGATTTGAGTAATCTTATCTTCCATGGCTCTCTTTCTCGTGTTGTATGGATGTTTAGAAGGTCCCAATATTCCTCTGTCAGACAGTTCTTTTATTAATGTCTATATTATGAAATATATGATTATGAATGAATAAAGTGCGGTGCAAGAAAAATAAAAATGCATTGCAAAAATAATAAAATGATGCATATGCAAAATGCAGGGTGTTGATCCTGGAGTGATTCCTTAGAACAACTCTTTATATTAAAAACGACGTTCGATTACAAGGTTGAAACATATCACAGATAAATCTGCACTGCTTTTCCTATTTCTTGTACAAGTGCTATCAATTCCATGATCTTCTGGTTTTCTTCACCTTCAGGATCTAGTTCCTCGCCTATTGCAACAGCTTCTTGAGATATGTCGACCAAATATTGTGCGATTCCCCGAGCATGTTCCTGGTAATAAGCAATAAGATCTTCTCCTCGTTTGGCTCTCGCTTGAGCTTGCTCCCATCGAAAATGCCACTGAATGTTCCCCTCATAAGGAACTATCGATAACTCAACTGATTACCTCTGGAAACCCTGAATCATGGCTTCGAGCTCACTTACTTGCTTCTTCAAATTTTTGACTTCTCCACGACTCGAGCTACCTTCCCGACTTCGGTACCGTCGTAACGCAACCTCTAAACTCGAGATTTTCCCTTTCAACTTCTCGTTCTGGGCTTGACCTTCTTGTAATTGATGCTCTAAACAACTCTTTTCTTTTAACAAACTCTTAACCTGATGCTTGCATTGCTTGAGCTCTTCCTGACTCTCCCCGGCTGCTCTCTTCAAACTTGCTACTTCATGCCTCCACTCAACAGGTGATTTGCTTGAACTAGAAGCTGTTCGATCTTTCATCATTCGCTAGTAAGTTGATTGAAGATCATCAAAATCTAACTGAAGTTGCTTCTCTGCTTTTTCAGCTCGATCTGCTCTACTTTTTTGGATATCGATCTCTTCCCCTTTCTGATACACCTCATCTTCTAGCTTTTACAGAGTAGCTCTCCACTGTCTCCTTTCTGCATCAAAATCGCGCTTAGCTAGCTCTAGTGGAGATGGTACTATCCTCAAATGCTATTCCATCGGTTGAACGTTTTCAGGATTCACCATCGGGATGTTATCGTTTACTCGATTGCTTCTCCACTGCTCATACTCTGGTGATAGTTCGAGGTCGAAGGTGAATAGATTTACACGACGAGTCTACTTCCAGGCTTCAACAACCCCTTTGACTTTGCTCTTGTATTGATCTCCCTTGAACGCAAAATCTGATCCTGACAAGTCCCGTGTAACTGGAATGAACTGTATTGACCCATATTGTCTGGAAACTAGCAAAGGTGCATATCCAACAGAGCCCCATATACCTGGCAAAGGGACCCAATCCCGCTCTCCACATTTGTAAAGTATGCTTGAAGTGACTTTCCAAGAAGTTCGCCATAAAACATCACCGTCTCTGATATCTTTAAAGATAACCATCCATTTTTCTTCGGTAAAACCTCCATGCTTGAAATGACTGAGGATCCATACTAGCAGTAGGGGTGCACATCCTATAAAGCGTCCTCCTCCTTCTCGCCTGCAAGAACTCAAAGAACGAAACATATCTGCTAAGATGGCGGGGACATGATCCACATTCTTGTCTAATCTTTCGAAAAGGTCAACAACTGATATGTCTACATATCCTAGCACCTTTGGGAAGATAACGAGCCCATAAATTCCTAAAGCAAGCATGTCAAGCTTCTTCCTCTGATCAGGGTGACAATTGATTATTTCCTTCAGGGCGGACCAAGGAAAGCATTCACTGTCTCCTTTCTTCTTAATATTTTTAACAACCCAATCCTCACTCATTCCAGTTATCGATATCAATTTCTTTTTGAACGAAGGAGTGAATGGGGGCTTGGTATGGACTCTATGCACTTGGGCTCTCGGACATCGGATCAAAGCTTGATACTCCTCTATTGTCGGCATCAGATCCACTTTACCAAACGTAAAGCAACTATAAGCGGGATTCCAGAACTGTGATAGGGATCTAAATAGATTTCGATCAACGGGAACCTCCAGAAGATAAGGTATATCACCATTTAATTGATAGAACATCTCTTTGTCGGCTGCTTCACATCAAACAACTCCGACACGTACACAGGCATCAAACTGTCTCCATTGGTCAATTATGATTGTTCCGACCATCTCAGAACATCTACATTGTCTTCAACCTCTTTGCGAACCTTTCGTTCCTTATTCTGGCCTTCTATATGGACATCAACCCCAAGTTAACACCATGAAATGAATAGTGCAATGCAAAACAAAAGAAATAAAACAAAGGCAAAAGAAAATCAGTTTGTAAACATAAATCAATTAACCAGAGCTAATAATTTGTCAAAGAATCCTACCCTCACATGTTGACTAACCAATCATGATTTAGTAGATCCTACCCAACATGATATCTACCCCCATGCTTAGTCATTTACAAAAATCCTAACCACATGATATCTAATTCAACCTAATCACATGATTTCTAGTTCGCATGCATTTATTCACAAAAACAAAAATAAATGACCCAAAAAGCTTTTCCTTGTGTATACTCCTCACGGGACTCTTAAGGTTCTGGTTAGGCTCGACCTAAGTTCAGGCTCTACGTTCACTATATGCTGGGTTTTTGGTTCTAAAGTAATAGTGTTGAAAACATTTTTGATATTTCGATATAACAAATTAAGTTAAATGAATTTTAAGATTTTACAAATGATTTTACAATTTTATATTCGATTCAATTAACCGAATATCAAATTACTACTCCAAGTTTTTTCAAGATCAATTTTAATCCTTACTAAAAGTGTAAAATTGTGATTTGTACTTAAACTATTTTTGAAACAATTTTCACAAAGTATTTTGAACCAAAATCAAGCCTAAATTCAATTATTTAAAGTGATGCACCGATGCATCAACCATGCATCGATGCATTAGTGAATTAATTGAACATCGAATGCTTTCCATGCACCGATGCATTCTCCATGCATCGATGCACTCTGAATATTTTCAAAACATAGAATGCATTTGATGCATCGATGCACAAGCCATGCATTGATGCACTCAGGCTATTTTCAAACATCGAATGCATTTCATGCATCGATGCACACTTGGTGCACCGATGCATCAAGTGTTCCAACGGTCAAAATATTTAAATTTTACACTGATGCACCGATGCATCCTTCATCATGCATCGATGCATGAGACACTCCACCCAGAAAATTAATTGTTTTCACACTTAAACGGCTCTATTATCTCCACTAGTTATCACCAACGTTCAGAATTGATTCAAGGGGTATTTAAACAAGTTCTGGAGCCATTGATCAATAGCAATAAACATCAAGCAACTAGAATCAAGAGAGAATCAAAGAGAAAGCATCAAACCTCAAGTTTGAGCATTTCAAGCCAATTTTTCATTCAATATTCATTTTGCTTTCAAGAACACTTTTGTACTCAATTGTATTTATCTTTGAGTGTTCTTTTCTTTGTTCTAGAATTGTGCAAACAATCTACCTTGTGATGATTTCCTTGTAAGTTTGCAAATTTGTATTGTTCTCTTTGGGAGAGAGTTTTCTCAAGAATTTGGGGTATAATTCATGAGGGTTTGTAAGGTTACTCTTTGTCCTCAAAAGAAAGACAAATTAGTGATTTTGTGGAAAATCCTTAGTGTGGATAGCTAAGGTAGTGGACGTAGACTTTGGTTGAGAAAGTCGAACCACTCTAAATCGTTGTGCAAATCTTTTCAATTTTGTGCAAAAGCTTCCACCGAAATTTTTATTGCCAATTCACCCCCCTCTTGGCCGATTCCGACGATCGATTAACTCAACAATTGGTATCAGAGCCTCACTCATTTGAAGGTTTAATCGCCTCTTGAGTCGATTCGGGAAGAGTTACATCGAGTACCAAGTCATCAATGGCCTCCGCTTCAAATTTCGACTCCGGTCTCGATTCGATGCCCGTCAACAAGCCTCCTTTCTTCAATGGGGCTAACTATGCCTATTGGAAGAATAGAATGATGTACTTCATTCAACCAAGTGACATGGGAGCATGGAATGCCGTAGAATAAGGATACATCAAGCCTCTCACACATCCAAGGTCGTGGAGTGAAGGAGAGACAAGAATGTTCCAGCTCAACTCCAAAGCCATCCATATTATTTTTTGTGCTCTTGGACCAGATGAATACGAAAGAGTTTCATCGTGTACAACCGCCAAAGAAATATGGGACAAGCTTCAAGTCACTCATGAAGGTACCGATGAGGTAAAGAAATCTAAAATTAGTATTCTAACGCATAACTATGAAAATTTCAGGATGAAACCAAATGAGGACATCAAAGCTATGGCGGATAGATTTTCAACGATTGTCAATGGTCTCAAATCATATGGAGAGATCATTTCAAATGAATAGCTTGTGAGGAAGTTAGTCTACTCCCTTCCAAAAACATGGCAATCAAAGAGGACAACAATCATCGAAGCTAAGGACCTAACGTCCTTAACTCTTGAAGAACTTATCAGCTCACTCCTCACTCATGAAATGATGCTTGAAGATGAGGTGGACCTCGATAAGATTGATGAGACATCAAAGGAGAAGGAGAAGAAGAAAAACATTGGAGTTACTCTCAAATCCACAAAAGATGAGAGTGATTCGAATGATGATGATGAGAAAGAAATGGAATTGTTTGCCAAACGGTTCAAAAAAATGATGAGACCTTACCGAGGAAGAAAATTCAAACGAAACGAAGGCCTAAAAAATGAACCAAAAGAGAAGGACCTAATCATTTGCTATGAATGCAAAAAGCCGGGGCATGTCAAATATGATTGCCTACAATTGAAGAGAAAGGGTCAATCAAAGAATAAGCACAAGGCTCATGTGGCTACATGGAGCGATGAAGAAAGTTCCGATGAAGAGGAACAAGAAGTAGCAAACTTGTGCTTGATGGCATTCAGGGAAGATTCTAAGGTAACCTCTAACTCATCTGATTATGATGATTTATCCTATGATGAGCTATTAGAGGAATATAATGGGTTGGCTTCAGATTATGAGAAATTGTTTTTAAAATATAAAAATGATGTTTCAAAATTGAAAAATGAAAACAAACTCATATTCAAAACCAACAACGATCTTAAAAGTAAAATCAAAGATTTGCAAATCAAACTAGAAGAGTTTGAAAAGAAAAATTTAGATTTGCAAAATTTACTTTCAAAGGTCAATGATGATCATCAAAAGAAAATTGATGATCTTAAACTTCTTTTGATAAAGTTGGTACAAAAGCATTTTGAAAAGGAAGAAAATTCAAAATCCAACTTTGTTAGAAAAGTTTTAGAAACTGCAATCATAGAGGTCCCAAAGAACCTCAAATGGAAAATCGTTAGAAGTATGTGGGTTCCTAAGAACTCATTACTACTAAAGATAAAGATATCCTACACAAATGGATACCTAAGGGGACTAGGATTTTGGAAACTAATGAATATGGACCCAAAAGAATTGGGTACCCAAAAATAAAAAATTAATCTATATTTGTAGGGAAAGGAGCATTGCTACAAGGCACGGGAAACAAATTCAAACTCATGGTACCTTGATAGTGGATGCTCGAGACACATGACCGGAGACAAAAGCCGGTTCATAGAGCTTAACGCCAAAAATGGAGGAGAAGTGACTTTTGGTGATAATTCAAAAGGTCACATTGAAGGTATTGGTACTATAGGTAATACCTCTTCCATACAAATTAAAAATGTTTTATATGTGAATGGATTAAAGCATAATCTTTGGAGTATTAGTCAATTATGTGATAAAGGATTCAATGTCTATTTGAAATTAATGGTTGTAAAGTCATTGACATGCATCTAATCGGATTATGCTTGTTGGTCATTAGAATAGGAAAACATTTACATGGTGCATTTAGATTCTATTGATATGACTTTGGTTATGGCATAGGAGATTAGGTCATGCTAGTATGAATGTTTTGCAACGGTTAATTCAAGGAGACTTAGTAAGAGGGTTGCCTAAGCTTAAATTTGAATGATAAAATCTGTGATGCATGTGCTAAAGGAAAACAAAAGCGAGTTTCTTTTAAATCTATTAATGATGTATCAACTAGTAGAGTATTACAATTCATCCATTTAGATCTTTTTAGGCCAACTAGAACTACTAGCTTGGGAGGAAAACAATATGCATTTGTCTTGGTAGGTGACTATTCTAGATATACTTGGGTTCTATTTTTAAGTACTAAAGATGAAGCATTAGAACATTTCATCACTTTTTCAAAAATAATCCAAAATGAAAAAGGTTACTCTATAACTAGTGTTAGGAGTGATCATGGTACTGAATTTGAAAATCTTGGATTTATTGAGTTTTGTAATTCTAATGGTATTAGCCATAATTTTTCAGCACCTAGAACCCCTCAACAAAATGGAGTCGTTGAGAGGAAAAATTGAACTTTAGAAGAAATGGCTAGAACCATGCTTTGTGAAATAATTTGCCAAAATATTTTTGGGCGGAAGCCACAAATACTGCTTGTTATGTTGTAAATCGAGTAATGATTAGGCCAATTTTAAAGAAAACTCCAATGAAATTCTCAAAAATAAAAAGCCTAACATTAGCTATTTTCATCCTTTTGGATGTAAATGTTTTGTTTTAAACAACGGTAAAGAAAACCTTGGCAAATTTGATGCTAAAAGTGATGAAGGAATTTTTCTGGGTTATTCCTTAAATTCTAAAACTTATCGTGTATTTAATAAAATAACTTTAGTTGTATAAGAGTCTATGTTGTTTTCGATGATAATCCCCTTCCGAGGAAGGATTCTTGTGTTAATGATGATGTAGGTATTGTACAAGCAAATGACGTTAGACATGATGTTGGAGAATCATCATCAAAGGAAGAAACGAAAGATGAGTAAACATGATCCTCGAGAATCCAACCATTGAAGAAAGGGAAGTATCTTTCCAAGAGAGTACAACTATGTCAAGGATGGTGAAATTATAAGTGATCCATCCAAAGGGGTAACTACTCGATCTTCTCTTAGAAATGTTTGTAACTATGTTGCATTTATTTCATGCATAGAGCCTAAGAACATCA